CTATAGAAGAAAAATATTTCCTCTGACACTAATATAGATCTGAAACCAACGAGTATTGGAAGTCGGTACGGGATGTTAAATGGATATGTAGAAAATTAGATATTTAAGGTCGAAAAAACCCAACAAAAATTTATGAAATGCCAAGAGCAGTTAAGGTGTGTTTGGAAACACAGTAACTACCTGCAAGCTGAATGTACAAAAACATATTTCAGATCAATATAGAGAGAGGAAAGAAGAAAATTGAAGGAAAAAATGAAAATAGACACAATAGAGTAAGAGATTTGGCAAAGAGGGTGGGAAGAAAGGAGGTCCATCTATCAATGGTTGTTGCCCCTGTGAGTTAAAACTCGTTTCCAACTTAATTTCAGGCTTGCAGCAGTGAGAAAGTAAAATTTACGAATTTTAACAATATCTTCTGGACATATATCTCATTCATGTAAATAAGTCGTATTATAAGCCAGCCATCACTACTGCTTCATTTTTTACACACGTTTTATGGGAATGATCTGACATCCTACTCATTCTCGCGGCTTGGAGAAGATATGTTGTAGCTGAAGGGTAGTTCTCGAGCTAACAATTTAAGCAGCTTTGATTTCCTCTTCCAGTGCATTATTCATCTCTGGAACTAGATACACGAGCATGTATAATAGAGGGGAAAAAATTCAAACGCAAAAACTATGCAAATCATTGTATGAACTAGCTCAGTGATTGATAATTAATACATATGAATCGAGCAATCGTAATGCGCTCACCAGTGTTTAAATCGAGCTCTAGTTTTGCCTTTTTTATTTTTTGTTTGGTTGAATGGAATGAATAGTAGAAATGATGAATGGGGTGATAGGTATAGTATTCCCAAAGCACCATCAATGTTGTGAATCTTTACAAATTCATTACCTTTATCGTAGTTACCGCGCAGTCAACATTCGAACTCACGCTTTGATCAACCTTTAATTAAACTCATGCTCCGCTCCTACCTCCAAGCTCTTCAATGATCCACCCTACGTCACCTAACATGTCAGCATCGGTGTAACGTCAAACACATTTTGTAATGGTGTCAATAGTTGTGCCACGTTACCTAACGCATCAGTTGCCACACAACAGAAATGCCAATAGTACCAAGTCACCTGCCACTTCAGTTGGCAGGTCACCAACCACGTTACTATCAATGCCTACATTAGGGTGAAAACAGTTTTCTCTACTAAATCTTTTTTGAGCCGCTTTTATAATCTCGTCTCCAAACTAAAATTGGTTTCAATCTCACATTGACTTTGAGGGAGCTGTTAGATTATAAAAGTATTATTATATTCTTTAGCTACAAATTAGGGTTTGCACACCTACGCAGTTATCATGTATTCCTCTACCTACATATATGACTTGCTTATCACTCACCTATCCCCAAACCTTCTCCTATATACCGGAGATCTTCATGTAATATTTAAATATTGCAATGCAATACAATATTCATTTATATATTTAAAAATATATTTCTTTTGTGATTTTTTGCTACTGTTGATAAAACTGAATATATGCTGAGCAAATGTTAATTCAATCCAATTTATTTTAATTGTGGTAAGGCCCAGATATACCCTACCAAATTTTATTATTAGTATACAAAAAATATGTTGGCTTTAGAATTTTTTCCAATAATTAAATTTATTGTGAAACAGACTTTATGGGTCTAGAAGCTCGTTTTGAGAGTGTAGGAAACATGCACCTATTAACATAAGTTTTAGATATTTTTACATAAAATATTCAAATCACATTGTAAATTGAATTTTCTTATTAGGGCCCAAAGTTGAGTCCATGCCCATCCATTTATAATATGGCTCATATAGGTGATTAAGGCATAGGCTAAACATTCCAAGTTTCAAGGCAGATAAAGAATACTTGCCTTAGGCCGCATAAGAAGGAACCTCTTTCTTATAATGAGGTGGCCCAATAAAACATCAACATGTGTTAAAGGTTTTTTTTTTTAAAAGAAAAAAAGAAAAAGAAAAAAGAGAGAGATGATTACAGGCTATGAAGCATGGACATGGACACGGGACACGGGTACGATACGACACAGATACAGTGACACGGCAAATTTTAAAAAAATAGGACACGAACACCATAAAATTATATATATATATATATATATATATATATTTATTTATTTATATTTATATATTCAAAATATAATTACTAGAAGCTTGCACATTCATTTTCCTAATAACAAACAGGTATATATAAATACAAAATTGCAAATAAAACAATAACAAATAACATGACCAATTTTAATAATTTTATCTATGTTATAAGAAAAATATGTACTTTCAGTCTTTCACCAAGTCTTATTCATGTAACTTAAACAAAAAAAAAAAAGGTCTTGTTCATGTAGAAAGATAATTGAAGAAGAGGAGAGACTGAGAAAGGAAATGAGAGAAAATAATTTTTTTGTGTAATATTCTGTTGTCTGTAGTTGTTTTTTTATTTTTTCAAAATTTTACTTTTAAACTTTTAAAATTAGTAAATTACATTAGGTATCACATTTATCTTTAAAAAAAAAAATTACAAAATATACCCCGCCGTGTCCTATCTTTAAAAAAAATTACAAAATATGCCCCGCCGTGTCCCCCGCGTGTCCTCCGCGTGTCCACCCCGTGTCCGAACTGTGTCCAATAAAAAATAATTTCTGGACACTTCACAGAAGTGTCGGACACGTGTCCGAGCCTCGGACGCGGGTGTCGGTGTCCGAAAAGTGTCCGACACTGGTACGGGACCCCTTGGAGGAGTGTCCGTACTTCATAGATTACAGGGAATAGAAATTGATCGTTCCTTCTTTCTCTTTCACGCAGCTACATATATATATATATATATATATATATATATATATATATATATATATATATTACTTCTGTGTTTTGAATCTAAAATCAAACAAACAAAATTTAGAGACAATAAAATCTAAATCTACAAGTTATTATTGGTTCCAATATCAAGCTTGTCTTTGAGATTCAAAAAAAGAAACAAAGAAAAAAATAATCAATTACAATTATAAATCTAATAGACAATTAGAGATCATTTAAATACAAGAAAACAATTACAAAACATCTAAATAACCACACACATATACCGAGATTGTCAGAGGAAGTAAAATAGACTATTGATGTTCTAGAGAGAGATTTACCGAGTAAAAATAATTGAGTGACTTGTACAATTTTAAAGATCAAAGAGTTGATTAATAATATATATTTCTACCTGAGAGAAAAAGGAAAGGATCAGTTTCTATTCCTAATAGTCATCATTTTATTTATTTTTTATTTTTTTTTATTTTTTTTTAACTTTAACACATGTTGATGTTTTATTAGGTCACCTCATCATAAGAAGGAGGTTCCTTCTTATGTGGCCTAAAACAAGTATTGTTCTTAAAATTATTATTTTCAGCTTGTATCCATTAGGAAAGAAAATAAAAAAATAAAAAACTGTTGATGCTTGAAATATAATTAAGACATATCAATCAGGGGAAAACCTAGCCCGTATTAATAAAGGAAATTAACCAAATTTAACACAAGAAATTACAATGAAATTTTATCAAAATTTATTTTTTCAGAAGGAGTATGCATAACATGAGAAACGTATATGAGACCCCAAACATATATTATAACATATATTATATATTATAGGGTGAACTACATTAAATCTCCTTTTCTATTTGCATTTTGCAATAAACCTTCCTTTTTCTTCTTTTTTTTTTTGCCAAAAAATTCCCCTTAACTATCCAAGGGGGTGACTTAGCAAACCGATGTTAGCTAAAAGGGAATTGAAATAAAAATTGACTTAAATACCCATTAGGCCTATTTGAATATCTACTTTGTGGGTGCACTTTATTTTTTATTTATTAAATAACCTAAATGACATCATTCATATAAATTAACACTTTTATTTTTTTTTCTTAAAATGTTAGCATTTTACTAGACTATTGAGGAGATAAAAAATAAAGTTTTGAAAGCAAGTCTTTTATTTAATTAAAAAGAATTCTCTTTTGTTTGTAAAAGCATGGGTTAAAGAATTCCATAATAATGTTATGGTGATAGTCAAATTCACATTATTCACTTGGAAGGAATATATTTTTTTTTGAAAAAATACTATTTTGAAATATAAAAATAAAAAAGAAGAAATACATGTAGGCATAAATAATTAAAAAAGGAAAAAAAAAAATAGGTATTATATCTCGTAGTGGTAGAAGATGAATCCTTTTAACAAATCTGTATAAAATAAAAATTAATAAAAACCAAAGAAATGAATTCACAATATAATTCTCAAAATAATAATAATAATAATAATAATAATAATAAATAAATAAATAAATAAAATATAATAATAAATAAAATAAATTAGCAGACAAATATGAAGGAAAACCCAATTTTATATAGGTCTGAAGGCAGGATAGACTGCAAATATAGTATAAATAATATTTAATGGTGCATATAATATATACCATTACATTATACTACATATTATATATAATATTATGATGATAATATCTATATATATATGATAGGTAAATAAAAGAACTTTTGTCTCAAAAAAAAAAAAAAAATACTCAATGTCTAAATAGCTCTCTTTTAATTAACTTTAGTCCGCAAAATCACCCGTTTTTTGATTTTTTTTAAAAAAAATTAATGCAAAACACCGATTAAAAAAAACAAAGGGTAGTTCAAATGTTCAATGCAGCTGACCGTGTATCCTATGTATATTTAGAAAATAGGAACGCTACAACAATGATGCAGCTATTGCATTGGGACTTAAAGGTCCACGCTATATATCGATATCTATCGATTTGGGCCAAGGGCCCAGCAGTAAAACATAACTATCGTTGAACTGACCGACACTTGAACTGACCCATTTACAATAAAAATCCTAGGATAGATTCTTCCGCTACAAATAGATCTTACATATCATTACTCTATATTATATGTATATATAATATGATATAGGTAGTGAGAGATAGGCCGACAGTTTCGGCGGATTGGTTTGACAGTATAAACGTAGCAGTCCACGTAAGCAACTGGACTAACTTGTGGGCTTGATTTGCTTAAAGAGGTGCAGAGATTTTGTTGTGTTAAACTGTCATCAGATTTTTTTTTTCTTTTCCGATCTTGATATTTCAGATCGCAGAGATCGCGCTATCGCTGTTTGCCGCCGACGGAGCCATCACTTGTTGGTTGTTTTTTGTTTGGGGCTTCGCTGTTTAGTGGCCTCGGTTCTCCATTGTTCTCATCTTTGTTGTCATTCGGATCGCCTCAACAATCTCTCTCTCGGAACAAAGTTGTTTGCGCCGAGAGGAACTGAGTCAATTGCCAGTTTTTTTTCACCGACGACTTTCAATTTCCGGTCTCCGAGAAGTCTGCAGAGACTAATAGTGCTGTTTATCCCATCGACGACCCCTCTGCTGCTGTCGCCAGTTGTCGTCGGTTGTGTACTTGCCGTTTGTAACTGTTTTTGTGATCTGTGTCTTCGTTTGGGGCTGATTGCTTGGTCCTTTGCCATCGACTGGTTCTTCTCTATTGCCGAGAGAGAGTTGCAGAGGCTGCCGTGTCCTAGTCGTAGGTGAGCCGCAGTTTGGTGACTGAAATTGTGAAGAAGATGAAGGGTGTTTGGCTACACGCGCATTCTTTTTGCCAGCTAGACGCCACCTAGGATTCTGCCTAGGAAATCGGCCAAACCCATCGGCGTAAATATCATTTTCCATATAATATATATATCTACGCGTATAATCAATGAAAGAACACTGAGCAATCTAGCCGAAACTGTCCGTCTTATTTCCACTGAAGTCCCTCCTCTAAAGGTTCGAAACCCTAATTCATGCAAGGACTCCAATTGAAGACAGTTTTGAATGATCTTCAGATTCGAAGGTAGAAGAGTCGATGGAATCGTAAAGGTACAATCTTTCGAAAAAATATTTAAGGTACAGTACAACTGAGGCTCTAAATGTGTGTGTGTGTATATATATATATATGTGCGTATGTGATGATACTTCATTGTCTCAATTGGAATAAAAAAGAATCGCCTTTTTGTTCCTTATTCGAATAATAATGGACTTCTTTCCCGATGATGTGCTGGTTGAGATACTGTGTCGATTGCCGGAAAAGCCTCTGACTAGGTTCAAATGTGTATGCAAATCATGGGATTATCTGATCTCTGTGTTTTGCTTGCCCAGAGTGTCTCTTCCTCTCTGTGGCCTTTTCTTCCGTACTTATGCTCTCCCACCTCATATGCCCCTTATAACCACACACGCCAGGCGCCCAGTATGGGATGCATTTTTAAAGCATTTGGGGCGCTTTGACAACGAAGAGCTTATTGATTATGTTTCTGTAGAAGACAACAGTGGCATTGATGGTGGTGGTGGAGGAGGATTTGTTGATTCTGAATTTTTGGCTAACTTGTCGTTCCAAAAGACTAATGCAAATGACTTTCTTGATAGTTGCAATGGCTTATTTTTGTTCTTCAATTCCTTTGATTTCCGGTACTATGTGTGCAACCCTGTGATGAAGCAATATGTGCCGATTCCCAAAGCTCGCTGCCATCAGCAGCATCATTGCTATGCAGCATTGGCTTTTAACCCATCCGAGTCCCTTTGCTACAGAGTTGTACGCATTGCAAGATGCAAAATGGAAAATAAACTTGTGTTGGACATATACTGTTCTAATACTGAACAATGGGTTAGACACCGGGTACAAATTGATTCCTGCATTAATGGGCGCTCCTGGATAAGGCATGCTGTTTACTTTCTCGGTGCACTGTACCAGTTATCTTTGTCTAAGCACCTTTTGAGGTTTGATCTCAATGAAGTCGGTGTTCATGCTGTTGAGCTCCCATTGACAGAAAGTGAAAATCGAAATCTAATTGGATGTATTGGGGTGTTGATGGGCCGGCTATGTTATGCGAAGAAAACCCCCACCACGTTGTTCATTTGGTCACTTGAAAGAGACTGTAAGGCCATGGAATGGGCTTTGAAGTATAGGATCAACATGGCTAGTTTAATAAATGATTTGGTGCTTTCTAAAGGGCTTTCTCGTTCTCGGTTTTTGTGGTTTCAGCCCTTTGCTTTTCATCCGACTTCTGATGTTATCTTCTTGAGCATTCCGCTTAGGATCCTGAGTTATGATCTCAAAAGGCAAAGGTTAGAAGAGGTGTACAAACCAAGGGATGGCGTAATAGTAGAAGGGCGATATTATCCAGGCTTTACTTGTTTTCGTCTCCTGGTCTCCCTAAACCATTTGGGCAAGATCCAGTATAGATCAACTCAGCTGTAAGTAGCTTGGATTTCCTTGCTTTTATTATAAATTAATCCCTTCTACTGCCATCTTTGATTTGATCTTATGTTCGATGATATGACTTTCATTTTTATTTGTGTTTTTCACTTTCTTCTCCTAAAGGACTTTCTTAGATTCTTATTACAAGGATTATCTTTTAAAATTTTCTCAGCTATATAATGCCTATAGAAAAAAAAAAAAAATTTATTTCTTCTGCATATTCTTCTTCTTCTCCATCATCAACATCATCTTTATATATACATATTCAATAAGAAACTAAATGGAGAATAGTGTTTGAAGACAGAAACCATACCAAGAAGAGGCACAACTCACCATGATAAGCAAGAAAATCCTGAAATGCTTTTGAATGAGAAATAAAAGCAAAACTCACTAGTCCTCATAATTATGATAGGTACGTTCTTATTAGTAAACATATAATGCTTTTGAATAACAAAAGAAAAACATTAAAGTTGGAGCACAAAAAGATTTCAACATACAACATGTAGTACACCTCTTGTTCCCTTTCTCAGAATCTTTATTTGAACTTTTAATTTTTAGAACAACTTTTCAGTTGGCTCCATTTACTTGCATTCTACTTGTTTCTTTAGATAACATATCTGGAAGCCCTTGTGATTCCTATATTTCTGTTTTCACTAAATCTCTTCAGTAGGATAATGAGGCATTAGTGGAGCCTTATTACATAAGCATATTTTTGTATTGGTCTTTTACTGGTGACTGTGGGCTAGATTGCGACTCTTTGATATCTCAAGTGTGTAATTTATGGTGTGACAAGTCCAAAGATTTTGGAAAATGTTTGTGAGGTTATTAGACTTAGGTTGGCAAGTTTGAGATCAAAACTTGGAGTCTATATTTTTTTGTTTATTTGAGTGTCTAGTTTTTATGTTGGTTATGGTACCTTGTCCAAGCATAGATCTGGAATTTCACATACATCAATTCCAACTTGTATTTTGACACTCACCAACTAAGGTTTATGGATTCACCAATAAGGGTTTCATGTTTTTCATGTTTGATTCATCTAAATCCTTTTTGATATACATTAAAGTGGTTTTGGAAAGTTATAAAAATCAGAGCCCTCTTCCTAAATGGACAGGAGACTTCAATCGATTGAGGTCCATCGAATAATACTGGCCTGCTGGTGTCTATCAATGACCGAGTATGCTAATTCTGAGGTTCCTATTTGAATTGAATTACTCAAAACCCTAGTGTTTTTCAGACTCCATGCTCTATGTAAAGACCCTTAAAGTTCAAAAAATATAAGCACACAATATTGGAGCATTCAGGCATTCCATATTTGATTTCTTTTCTCCTGTGAAAAATTCCATACTGATTGCTTGTGCATTATAGTAATTTTTTATTGTTTGAATTTGTATTTTTGCACATTCATTATACATCTAGGATTGTGAGTGTATCAATTGGTTGTTGAATCATTTATAGCTGTGGTTCAAGCTCTTCAACAACTCTAAAGTTTAAGCACACAAAAAAGGGACGTGACTAGGAATGAGATTAGAAATTCGTGAAGAAGCAAACTGTGTGAGGTGCAGATTTGTTGATGGATCAACGACTGGAAGGATTTGGGGAGATCTTGCGCAAGTTTGAGTGATGAGAGATGGATGAGGCATCCCTAAGGAAGGGAAGGTGACTTCCTCACTTTTTGTTTGGTTAAATGGAAAGGATGGCTGGGGATGTTAGGAAAGGAAGGAGAGTGAAAGGACCAAAAACCTAGTGGGCCATTTTAGCCCAACAGGTGTAAATTGGACCAAACTCGGCCCAATTGTATCCTAGAAGGAAATGGATCCTTAAGCAACAAAGCCCAAAAAGAGGAGTCAGGCCCATCGAGGCCCAATATGGAAGCCAAGCAAATAGCTTAAGATAGAATGTGAACTACTATAAATAGAAGGAGAGAAGCGTAGAAGAGGCAGAGTTGTTTGGAGTGTAAGAAAAACTTTCCAAGAATAGAAGAGAAGATTTCTTGCATCTTCATCTGGCGTCATCTGTGGGAAATCGAAAGGAAGATCCATCGGTTTCCACGTTGAACTATGACTCAGCTTCGATCGGGAACCATGATTGGGGAAAGAAGCTCCCATCAGCAGGATGAGAACGAGGAAATCATGCATGATGAGTTGATGCAAATCATCGAAACTCTACGATGAGAGAACGCTGAGCTCAGATGCAGGATGGAGCAAAGGGAAGCACCACCACCCCCTCGACTGCCAATGGAGGATGAGAGGGTGGAGATGACAAATGTCAACCGGCGGGCGGAAAGAGTGTGGTTTGTCCATAGTGACCCACAACGACCATATAGTTGAAGAGAAGATCAAACACACCTAACTGTAATCCCCTGGCTTGGTTCAGAAGGATCAAAGTGGACACTATCCTATAAAAATTGGGGTTTACTTGCAGTGTAGCAAGTCCTAATTTCATGAGAATGGCATGAAACATTGGGTGGAGAGGAAACCTAAGTACACACAGCTGGGACGTGGTGAATAAGATATCACTGTCGGCAAGGCCCCTTCCAGCACTAGCACTCTCCTCGTATTAGTATAGCTGAGTGGTAACATCGCCGGGAATATTGCAACGTACGCGAAGAGCGTCGAGCTCCATGTTTTAAAAAAAAACACACACACACACACACCACAACGGGGAGAAGAAAAAGCAAAGACTGGGAGGCGCCAAAAAAGAGAGAGAGAGAGAAAGCTTTGGTGGAAAAAGAAGAAAAGTATAAAACTAACCTTGAAGGATTCAACCGCCAGTTTCACCATCATCATTGCTCATTAATTTCGCCCTAAATAATAGAGCGAAATTAGGGGGCATATGAAAGGACCAAAAACCCAGTGAGCCATTTAGCCCAACAGGTCTAAATTGGATCAAACTCGGCCGAATCGTATCCCAAAAGGAAACGCATCCTCAAGCAACGAAGCCAAAAAAGAGGAGTCAGGCCCATCGAGAATCTGGAAGCCAAGCAAATAGCTTAGGTTAGAGTGTAAACTACTATAAATAGAAGGAGAGAAGCGTAGAAGAGGCAGAGTTGTTTGGACTGTAAGAAATACTTTCCAAGAATAGAAGAGAAAATTTCTCGAGTCTTCAGAGAGTTTTTATATTTTTTACCAATATACCCTCATTATTTATGGGAGAATTTCCGTAAGGTTTAACAAGTTATTTAGTAAATCGCATCTGCACAGTTAGGGGGCATCCACACGCGTGTCAGTAACTTCTCCCCCTCAAGCGATGTGGGATGTCACATTTTGGTTGTAAGATGAAAATCTAGTATCATTTTTCTAGTTTGAAGTCTAAAGAAGAAATTCATATCATTGATCATGCCCATCCCAAAAGAATTTCTATTGTAAATGTTAACATATAAGAAAGTGAACTAGATGTGGAAAACAATACCATTTTTTGCCACCATCAGATCGCACTCGGAGAACGTTGTATAACGGAACGAGAAGGGAACACTTGGATTTGAAACATTAGCACCTTAAGTCATAAAAATGATTGCGCACTATTCCATATGGCATAAACGTATGTGCCCAAATATTTAACTTAATTGCTCCATACTCTCCAAATTTGTTTCACACAACGTGGCATGTTGAACAAATATAATCCTGTTCTCACCTTCTGAAAATATATATATATATATATATATATATATATATATATATATATAATCCTGTTCTCTTAGCATCTGACTTCTTGTTTTTTCGTAACTTACAGAACATCTATTTCACAAGACATGAAGATTTTGAGTTTGGAAATGCCATCTGATGAAATACCCAATGAAGGTGCATGACAAATGGAACCCCACATGCTAGGATGATTGTCCTATGAATTTGGTGTATGGGATTTATGTTAAATTATCCTAATTAAAATGCGTAAGGTAAAACTATGTTATAAGATGTGTGTGTTAAATTATGGAACTGAATAATTTTAAAAAATGTAATGTTTATCTTTCATGCTTCAATAATTATGTCTGGAGTGTTATAATAATAATTTTTTATTTTCTCAAGTTACTCTGTTCTAGCTTGTACAAGTAATATTTGGAGCTGTGTGGTTGATCGTCTCTAGCAACAGTGATTAGGTGATTTTTCTATAAAAGATGAAACATTGTACATGAGTGGGTTTCAAAGTACAAGTAGTGGCTTTTCATGTTCTTTCTTTGTTAGCTTGCAATTTACTGAATTTGCTTCTGAATGTTGACATAACGTGTGGAAGAATGCAAGTGCTCTTTAATTCATAGGATTAGATAATTATGTCTGGAGTATTATAATTATTTTTGTTATTTTATTATTAATTTTGAATTGATGTTCAAGGCCTAGCAAGGCCAACAGAATACAAAGGAAATAAAATAAGGAACACTACAGCCACTGAAGAGATCATGATCCTATAATGGACATCCATAGGAGTGAACAGACAGAAGATGGAAGCTCAACGTACAGAATTTACAGTCTACAATTCAGAGTCACTTGTATATGGTCAAACCATGCTGAAATATAGCAATTCAATTATGATTAGTCATGTATATTGCATTCAGCTTGATTATTATGTTTTCCGCAAATTTATCCTTGTATTAAATTATGATTTATTTAAAGAAGGTATTTTTCAAATATGAATGAAATTGGCCAAATAAATTATCTCTTCAATCTAATCTATTACTTGTCATATTACCTATTATATTTAAACTTTTAAAAATCATTGTTAATGATCTTATCCCATATTATTTTTTGCTGCACCGCCGCTAGGTCTTCGATGTAAGACTTTCTCTACTTTTATCACTAATGGGTACGGTATTTAATTTTTTTTTTCTTAAGTGACCTTGTCTATTCTAGTCATTCCATTCATTTAAGAAGTTGTTCTTTTTTCTTTTTTAGGGCCCAACACTCGACTCTATATTGTTGGAGTTATTTCAAATTAATTTTTAGTAATTCTATATTTATGAAGTCTTGGCTTTACTATATATTTACGTAGACAAAGTATTTTACAAACTCTAACTCGAAGAATGTTCACTGATGCAATTAATCAACTATATTAATATCTTATTTATGAGTTAAGTTTAAAGTATATTAATTACTTTATTTAATTATTTCTTCTATATATGCTAGTATAAATAGTATGGCATATAAAGCTTACAACACACACTCTCAAAAACAAAGTAAGAGAGAGTAAGATTTGAAAAAGTATTTTCAAACTATTGACTTTGAGTGTGTCAGTTTCATATTTTTAGTTGATCAGATGGAGATAAATACACAGGTTGATGAAAGAAGTGCAACATTCATGAACAACATACAAATTTGATATTTGGGCTTAGTTGAATTTCGGAGATAGTGCTGCCATTAGGCTTCTGTTGCACGTGGGAGAGACTTCAACTATCTTCAAAAAGCCTTGATACTCACCATTTTAATATATCGGTCACATATTGCATAGTTGGTCCAATCCTTTTAGCCTATTTTAGCGCAAGTGCTACAATTTCATTCTTTTATCACATAATATCTCAATAGCTTGTTTTCATTTTGTTTATCTTGTTTCAATTCTTCTTGTTATATCACCGTCTATTTTTCCTTCATTTGTATCATAGATCCATTACGAAAGTAGTTGTTTTGAGTTAACTATTGATTCTGAAGTTTTATCATTATACTATCAATGTCCGAATCTTTATCAAATTTACACTCCATACACTGAGTTTTGGTTCAATTAATTCTCAATCCTTTCAATTCTAAACCATTTGTCCACAATTTCATCTCTATGACTAGATACTATTGGTCAATTTGAAAATGTTGCGTACCAAGATTTATTCAAGATGACGTCCGTAATAGTAGTTCAATATATAAATTGAGTAATATGGGGATCTTAAAAGGTAAAAGGGTTGAGCCTCTTTAAAAGTATTATGGGAGTTTCTTGCCATCCATGAATATATATACACACACATTTGAACAAGCATACAAGTATGTTTCGAAACTTTTTTTCTATTTACACCATTTCATTGTCTTTCATGGACACAATATCATACACAGGATCTTAAGCTCCTTCCACCTCCACAACCACCGTTGCTGCCGCCGCCCACCAGAGTCTCCCCTGCTGTTTACACTCCTGCATAACAAAAACCAAATTAAACATGAGATTGAGAGACACTGCTGGGAACCACATTAAAAATATCACAAGGGATGGAAGAAAGACTTCTTTATGTTTGATCCATGGCATCCAATGGGTCTATTGCTGAGGTCAAGGGCAAGGGTGAATGGATCATTCAAGTCTCAGCCCTAAAGGACCCAATGTCAGATGCGAAAGTCTACTGTAGTTAAAGGTTATCTCCCAAGGCACTCTTATTATGTGGATGGCTATAAAACAGAAACTTTACACCCAAGACAGATTGTTAAAGTTTGGAATGATCTCAAGTATCAGCTGTGTTTTTTGCAGGCATAAAACTGAAAGCATCTTTTATTACAATGCTCTACTACTAGCAGAATCTGGACTTTCATGGGCTCACACTTGTGTATTCAATACCACACTTTATCTCATGGGGCTCCCCTATTCTGAGAAATAATTCTCTTAAATCTATTGCTATTAAACTATCCTTGGTAGCCTCTGTTAATTCCATTTAAAAGGAACGAAACCAAAGTTTGTTCTCAAACAAATACATTGATGTTGTTTCTCTTAAGAAACAGATTGTGGCTATTGTCAGACTTGTCAAAAAAAAAAAAAAAATTTGTGGCTTTTGTCAAAGACTCTGGTCTATGTCTGGTTTTGATCCCTCTTAAGAAAACAAATGGCTACAACTACAATGGGACTTACCAGATTCCATATTCAGACTTTGAAATATCTACTTGTAGATTTCTCTGCTCCGACATGGCTGCCTCCTGCTGCTGGTGATGCTATCTTGTTACTATACTTATTTGTTATATGGTTTTATTCCAAGAGCTACTATACCATTCCAGTTGCTAGGATCAAGCTTATTCTCAAAGAGTGGTCTTTGCTAATTGCCTATGTTTGCAACTCGTATGTACAAAAAGTTGCTTCATACATTCACCTCCCTCTCTCTTCCTCCCTTTCCTCTTTTTATCCTAACCCATTTCCTAGACCCTCATGTTTTGGGCCCCTCGATGGGCTTGTCTTCGTTTTGGGCTTGGTATGCATGACCTGCGTTACGGGTCCAGTGGGTTATTTATTGGGCCATTCAAAGGATTGAATCTATCTTTGTGAAGAATATCATAGAATTCAATGCAAACATCATACAAGGAACCAGATAGTTAATTTGCTAGATGTGAACAAACCCATACATCGAGAGCAATGGAATTTGGGGTAGAACATTCAATCCAAATATGGATCTAAGGTTACTTAGGTGGTTCCATGGGACTTAGTCTGACATCTAAGATTGTAAAACTTTTTTCCATATTAAACTTTGATCTGTCTAGCTTGGGGGGGCATGGATTTTTTCCCCATAACTTTGGCTTTATGCGTGAATGATCTCTATTTATATTCTGTTTTATTTTTATTCCACAAATATGTGTTTACTAGGTTTCTTTAATTATATATTATCAAAATTTTAGAAACATTTATTGTTAGTTAGGTTTTCACAATATCTATTCACCCACTTCAGGTTTAGTAGGGACTTAGCATGATGTATTAGAGCCTAGGATGTAGATCCTCCCTACAATATTGCTGTTGAAGGGAGGATCTCCATAAAATTAAAACCCCCCAGAAAAACCCTACAAGCTCTACGAGGATTACATTAACCCTAAGTCGCCTTCAAAACCTCCCTCCTCCTGTTGAAGGCACTTATGTCCTCTCTGGAGGTAACTACACTGTCAGATTTCAACTCTGTGTTTCTCTTTCTATATATATATACATGTATATATAGTAAATACACAGGTAAATATACATATATATATATATATATATATATATATATCCATACAAATATATGTTGTGTACAGTTTGTATTATACCGTTGTATATGGGAAAAAGTGGGTAGGAATTTGTAGATTTGTGATCTTTGAATTGTTATAACTACTCTTGATAATTTGATAGGGAGAGAGAGAGAGAGAGTGTGTGTGTGTGTAGAGGGAGAAAGAATATGTTGAGAGAGAGAATAAATTGCGATGCGTAGAGCAAGAAAAAGAAAGGCATCCGAACATGGCAGAAGCGTGTTAAAATATATAGAAAGCTATTAGGGGCATTTTTGTCATTTAAAAATGGTATTTTGAGGTTTTCTATTAAACTGACATTTTCTAACGGATATATGATACGGGGCAATTTGCACACATTTCTCAAATCATGAGGGGTTATATGCACATACTAAACTGCAAGAGTGTTCCATGTACAATTGGTATACAAGGGGTTTTTTTTTGCACTTTTCCCTAACTAAATTAGATTATATGGAATATTAATTTAATAAATTCCGAGAGAATGACAATATAATGGTAATAATCCAAGGCCTAAAGATTACTAAAAATAACCATTTTCGATAATTAGATTCATTAATGCAAAATGACGGAAATATAAATGAAAATATAATTAGTAGAATTAGAACAGATTGGACAGAAATAGGGTAGTTAGTTATATCTTGTGAGATATACGAATATCAAATAAAGAAAACTACAGGAAGGTCACTACATCAGCAATATTTTATGGATTTGTGTGCTAGGCTTTAGAAAATGACAAGAATGCATTCATGTGAGTTAGATGAGAATGTCAAAATGAATAATAGGAGCTACTAGAAGAGATAGAGTTAATAACCAATGCATAAGGGAGATTTTAAAGATGACAATTACTGAGAAAAAGAAGTTCGGTTAAGAGATAAAGAGACTAACCAAAACTAACATGAGATTTAAGTAATTCGAAATTCATTAAAAAAATTTATAGAAAAAGAGAATTCTTGTGGCCGATCCCTTTATATGGAATAAAGGTAAGATGATGATGATTCACAATTTAGATCAATCATGCCTTCTTTTTGATATTTTGATTGTAACATACAACAAAATCACAAAAAGGACTATCATGTAGAAAAGATAAGGCAATACTTGTTGCTGCCATAAAACATGCTACACTAATTCAATTGCAATCAAAGATACTAATTCCAATTTTTTTTTCTTTTAAAAAAATGTAACAAAAATAATATATTGAAATTTAAATTTAACATATCTACAGACCAGTGTAACCACTTAATAAAATTATTTACAGATTTTATTCTTCAATGAAGAACTTTGGGATCTATAGTAATGCTACGAAAATCTATGTCTCTGTAAATTTAGAGAAAATATAGTGGTAATATAAGAAAAGTGTAAACAACCATCTATTCCAAAAGCTTAAGCTGTTAGAGAGGGTGTAAATTAAATATATAAATCCTTCAACACGCCCCCTCACGTGTGGCCTTTTTTTTGGTCCAACACGTGTTTTTTCAATTAGGGTGACGGTGAGGTTTGAACTCGAGATCTTTGGCTCTGATACCATATTAAATTAAATATATAAATCATTGAACAAAAAGTATCATCAAGTAGTGAAATAACAGTAAGGGGGCAATGGCCATTGCTTGGTGCCATGATAAAATGTTTGGGCTAACAGCTGTGAGGATGCTCATTCGTGTATGAGAGTAGCCACTTTGTAAAGTAATAATAAAAAGTTAGGTCTATCTCTCATCTTCTCCAACCACACACTCTTACATGAGATAACATTGGGTAACGTTGTTTTCTTTTTCAAGTCGAAAGAACACATTAGTTTGCCAATAAGTTGGAACAAAAGAAATAAAGAAAATATTCAGCAAAAATCCCTTAATTTTGCCTTTTCTTCTATGATATTTTACGTTTTAAATTCATTTCCAATTAATTCATCCCATGTTCATTTCGATCGCTTTTTCTGTCTCTTGCCTTCTATGTGAATTAAATTTCCTCTTCTCCAATGCATGTATAGGTCTTTTTTCTTCTCTCTTTCTTATTATTTTTTTTTCCCCGTAAATATCTATAGGTCTTTGTTATAAATGTCCATACCACCCAAATCTTCTTCCTCTTATTTTATCATTATTAAGAAATACTCCTAATTGCTCTTTCACACTTCGATTATTAACTGTATATCTTCAAGTCTGTCCTATGATGACATCCTTATTTCAATTATATGAATTTGTTGTTCATATTTCTTTTATAAAGCCCAACATTCTGCTCTATATAAGATAGTTAGCCTAATAACTGTTCTATAATTTTTTCCTTTTAACTTATTTGTTATTCTTTTAGTGCATAAAAAACCACTAGCATCTTATGGCCCAAGCGAGTTCCTATAAGGCTATAATAACACAGAACCCAAATCTAAACCATTATGGCCCAGGCTATATACTAATTGGGTATGAAATCATGAACCAGATCTGAACAATAAACTACCATCAACCTTAACCCAATCACTTAATAAAGCCAGATGATAATGGAAGCATGTTGCAACCATATATATTTTATATTAGGGTAAATTTCACTTACATCCCCTGAGGTTTGTCAATATCCCACATAGACTCCCTCTAAGTTTCATAATCCCACTTACCTCCCGTCTTTTTTACCATTTTGCCCATGAAATGTTTGCTGTCATTTCAGAAATTAGAAGGGCAAAATGGTCAGGCAAGGGGGAATTTATTACATAAACAGAACCTCAGGGGAGGCAAGTGGAATTATAAAACATAGAGGGGTCTATGTGCAATATTGACAAACTTCAGGGAGGTAAGTGGAATTTACCCTTGATATTATAGGTTAAACAGGGTGCTCCTCATGTCATCCTAAATTATTCTCAAAATTCCAAGTCATTAATACCACATTTGACGGTTATCTCAGCATGCATTAGTAACTATGGAAAACCAGTAAAAGGTATGTAAAACCTCAAGCTGCCTATACAAAGCTATTTCTCGCAATACCAAATTATACAACTAGAGAGCAAGTCAGGATCGTTTTGAATTCTCTTAAAGTGACTTGAACAACAAACTTTGTGCTACTTTTCATGTTGAAATATATAAATATTTCTATATTTCAACATTTCATTTAATCAACACAATATGTGCCATCGATCAAAACCATGTATGAATCAACTTATTGAACTTTAGAACAGTAAACGTACTTTCCAAATAATATTTGCCTATTTTTCCTTTTCAAAAATTGATTTTTCAATTCAGACATATAACTTTTTCCTTTACATTACCTCATTTTCATGCATCAGTCTTTACATCCTCAGTGTCACCAAGAGCTACTGGAACATGTTTTCCCTGTAAAATAGATAATAGATTATATGAGGACAGAAAAAACATATTTTTCGAAGATAAGAAAGGGTTAGATCTTACATCATAAACCAAAAAATTGGCCTTGAATTCATCTGGAGAAACATCCTCTTCTCCTTGCTACAAAGTTTAATGACAACATGAATTTAGAAAGGGAAAAAAAAAACTTAGAAGCAATCAACTTATGAATTCAACCAAATCACAAACAATGGTTGTTGCTGCAATATTCCACTTGCAGAGGGCCCTTCACTGTAAAATAGCTAATAGATTATAGAGAAAATTAGATTTTAGTAACCAAACTTAAAAATAATAGCTTTAAAGTGACCCATAAAGTTAGAAAAAGGTACATAGTCATCAATCCTGAAACTATTTTGCACTTCAGTGACCATTTGAGGCTCAATTCCCTAAATACCCCTCTTTTTTTTCTTTTTAGTTTTAAAATGCCGGCTTATTCCCGGCTTTGCTGATGGCAGTGGAGGTGGCTTCCAAGCAATTTGTTGACAGTCCTGATTTTTCTCAAACTGCTTGGAAATCCCATTCTGACAATATAAACAGCTTGGAATTGAAAACTCTTTGGAACAAGGGGAATTTGCTGAAATCCCATTCTGACCATCAGCATCATCGAACAGTCTAAACCCCATCAAATAATTCTTGAAATAGTGTGTTCTGGATTTTGCTGATGGAGGTGGCTTTCCAAGCAGTTTGCTGATGCTGGTGGAAATCCCATCAAATAAGAGAAAATAGCCTTTTGTTGACAGTGTCGGTTTCGCTCTTCCTTCCCTGTCCCCTTATTTTCTATCTCCATAAACTTCTCTCATCATTTGTGTTGATTCATGTTCTCTGTTTACGTGTTTGCCTTTTAATATCAACATATTTCATAATTATTGCTATGCTATTTCAAGGTCTGCATTGGGGTCTTAGATCAGTATATTTGTTAATGTGTTGACCTGCATTCTATAGTGTATTTGTTAATGTGTTGACACCTGCACTCTATCCTTAGTTTATATATCATATTTGTTAATAACCATCTACTCCAAAAGCTTTAGCTGTTGGAATGGGTGCAACTTTAATGTTTATATCCTTAACACACCCCCTCACGTGTGGCCTTCTTTTAGGTCCAACACGTGTTTTCCAAATTTTTAATTAGGGTGACGGTGGCTTTGATAGCATGTTAATAACCATCTACACCAAAAGCTTTAGCTGTTGGAGAGGGTGCAACTTTAATTATTTATATCCTTCAACAATATTCCAGCACTTAAATACTCAACCTAGGTCTATATTGCAGTGTATTTGTCAAGCTGGAGAATGGCTCAGAATAGTACTAATATAATTCTCTGCATCAGCTTGTTTCAGCAGGTATGCAGTAACAGCCCTATCAAGGGCATTTTGGTATTTGTGCAGGACATTCCAGGTATGGACACGTGTCATTATACTGGTCCCAAAATTCCTAAACGATCCATCTTTCAGAGAATGTCATTGCTGCCCCTACTTCACGTCTGCAGAGAATGTATTTCAAATTCCTATAATCTATATGCCTTAAAGGATAAGATGACTCAGCAAGGAAGAGTCTCTACAAAAGCTAACGGACAGAATATCCTCTTTCAATGATTGGCATACAGCTGTCACTTTAGGGCAGCATCAGCAGAATTCTCAGGGATATATATAGAATATGTTGCTGCAGCAGTAAGATTGACTTTTCTGGTTTTGAGGCAGCCTCTGTGTGAGAGAGAGAGAACCCATTGCATATTCAGCTTCCTCCAGGAGTATATTCATTCTGGAGAGTGTTAATCAGATCATTTTTAGACTCAAGGATCATTCATGGTGTGAAACATAAGGATTAGAAAGGAATCACAGTGCTGCTCACTGTGGTCAGCAGCAGGCCTTGCTGTTGCAGCACCCTCAAGTGACTATTTCTCAGAAGTTGGAGTCACCTGAGTTCAAGGATGGTTTAGACACCTCTCAGTGCTCATTTCAGGCCTGCAGAGGTAAGTCTCTCTCATATTCATCATCTGCAGCTAGTTGTATTAGTGTCAAACCATGCTGTGCAGGTATCTAGCATACTGAGATCTTCTTATAGATGTTACATGTGTTTAGCTTGCTTATCCATCTTTGAATATCATCTGAGCAAGTGTATTAGACCTTATTGAAGACCTCCCATCACAGTAGAAGCATGTCTGACCTTTTATTCCTCAGTTCTGCAGAAACAGTGACTCCCATGTTGCTGTGAGCTTCGCTCTTTAGCTAATATTGATTGTATATCCTCTTTAAAGCTTAGAGTGTATTTGTATCTATCTTTACATTGTTGTATTTGAGTGTTTGAGGTTTTGTTGGTCCAAGCAGCGGGTGCTTGCGGACGGGGAGTGTTTGAGTGCCTCGTGGTGAGGTATGGTGTGTGATTGAGTGTGAGACAGTTGAGTGTCTATTCATTGATCAGTCACGGTGGAAGTTAGGGTGAGCTCACATAGCTCCAAGGGTTTTTAACCCCACTGGGGGTTTTCCTTGTAAAAAAACCTGTTGTGTCACTCTTGAGTTGTGGTTGAGTACTTTTATCAAACACCTGAGTTGGAGGTTTCAAGACTACCTAGCTCACATCAAGCTCTACAGAACCTTTAATATCCATTACAAGGTTTCAAAGTGTTTTATAAGAGCTTATACAATAAGAAAAGTTATTTTAAGGACCAATTCACCCCCCTCCCCCTCTTGGTCTAACAATTTGTTTCATATCTCCTCCCTCGGCCACCACTTTCCTCTCCACAAAAGATCTCCAAATTCAGTTCCTCATTCTCCTTTAATTCTTCTATTGAATTACTGATTTATTGAATTCCAAATAGTTTCATATCATTTCTTGGAAAAAAAAAAAACTTTATGATTGTGCATCTTTCTCATATGTAAATAGAAGAAATATAAAAAGAAGAAAAATGAGAGAATTGTGTAAAGGCTAGAAATGAGATAATCACTCATTCACCACTCTAGTATTTATAGATAAAAAGAGCAGATGCTCATATTACAAGAAAGGAAATTAAATCAAATCTAAATCAAATCACAACATATTTTATGGCATATTCTATAGCATATTCTATGCGACACTTGCTGCACCGGATTCGAGACCGACAAAACCCCCTACATCGCGGGTGCAAGGGTTAGAATTGAGTGCAAGGATAGGAAAACTGATGGTCTCAAGTACAGCATCGAGGGGGTGACTAGCTCAACCGGGATATACAACATTGAGGTCTCCGGTGAACACGGTGACGAGATGTGTGATGTGAAGGTTGTTACCCCACAGCCTGACTGTGCTACACCAAGCAGTGGATGCGACTATGCTTGTGTTATTATCACCCGGTACAACAGCATTGTACCTGACACCCGTAACGTCAACTCCATCGCCTTCCAGAGGGATCAGCCCATGGCTGGTTGCACCGAGTTGCTCAAGACATACATGGTAGATGAAGATCAATAGAAGAACTGTGGTTGGTTTTTTCATGTGTTAATTGTTTCTCCATGGTTGTGTTGTCTCTTTAGTTTATGAGACTCTGTTTCATAATTTATTTATGCTTCATTATGTAGCTTGTCACTTAATCGTGGCTATCATATCTGCTAACATAAATTTAAATCAATTTCACAACTCGATTTCCATCTTAGAGAACTGATTGAAGACCTCTTCATTGACTGTTTAAATCCTCTCTAGTCTCCGCAAAAGGCGGTGGCTCAAATATTCAACCCTTTTGTTAAAATTACAAAAAAGTTTTAATTATTTAATTAATTTCACTAACCAAATAAAACTTGTTGACGAAATTAACCTTAAATGGTCACTAAAAAGCAAATTTCTTGCAGGATTGATGACTTTTATCTTTTTATAACTTTAAAGTTACTTTCAGACAATTATCTTTGATTTTGGTCACTAAAATCTAATTGCCCTGGGTGATATGAGGCCAGCAAAACATAATTTTTGAAGATGAGAAAGGGATAGATCTTACAACATCCAGAGAATCTTGCCCGACTCCTTGCTCCAAAATTTAATGATAAAACGAATTTAGAAAAATTTGAAGCAATCAATTTATGAATTCAATCAATTCACACACTTACCGATGATGATGAAGCCCATGCTTGTTGCTGCAATATTCCATTCGCAGTTGGTCTTTCACTAGGAATTGTAGACAGTAGTTGTTGCACGAAACACTTATGCTCTTCGTATTTCCAGCTTTTTGGAAATTCTTTGTTCACCCTCAGATTTTGAAAAACAGCAATCCTCTCGTGTTGTGTTGATATGGGGTGAAAAAGCTCGACAAAAATGAGACCAAGGCTGTATATATCAGCATTGGTGTCAACTTCCATTTGCTTGTCTTTTAGTTCTGGTGCAGTATATAGTTGATGACCAATAGAGCCCGTTGCAACTTCATCATTGACACCATTTACTAGTTTGGCTGAAAATTAAGAAAATGAATGAGAAAAGGAATAATTACTTACTGAATAAGCAATTAACAGAATTACATAAATGAAAAAATAATTGGGAAAAGGCTTTGTTAAGTTGAGTTGAAGCAAATAAAGTATATAAAAGTACCTACCCAAACCAAAATCCGATATGCGGATGTCATCATGTTCATCAAGCAAAATATTTGCAGGTGACAAATCGCGGTGTACGATTCCGGCTGCATGGACTTCCACAAGCCCATCCACAATCTGAAGAAAAATCTTCCATGCCTTGTCTTTATCCAAATCGCCTGAAGTTTCCAAAAACTTCTCCAACGATCTATTTTGTCCAAAAGAAGAAGACAAAAAGGAAATAGGTGTTATCTTGTGCATCTAATATTGCTTAGAAAATATAATACATTAAAGCTCCATGAAATGCACTCCATGTAAGGGAAGAAAACTATAACCAACCAAAAACCTTATCTCCAAAAATTAATCACAGAAAAAATATAATCTTACCTGAAACTCAGTATTAAATGCTTTAAATTCAAACAGGCAGTTCTGCCCCTTCAAAAGCACATATTACATTCCTTACAAAATGCACTACTGAAGGCATAATAAAATAGAAGCCTACCAAAACCTCTCATGCTTTGGCCAACACAACCACCCTTCATCTCTCCATGACCTCTTCTACCTACCTAGCAAACTTCACCAAATACTAGACAAGGAAAAGAGAACAGAACCTTACTCCCTTACCACTGCACTGTGGATTTCCATGAGTTTCATTGTTTCCTAAGCCCCTTTACTCAAATTGCACCAATTAGCAGAATATTCCTCTATTCGCCCCAAAGTAGACAACTGTCTTCAGGACTCATGAAGACAGTTCTAATCATGGTATGAGTGCTAATCAAGCCATTTGGTCTGAACAAGGCACCACACAGTTCTACAAATGTGACAAATTAAACCCTTTAACCATTAATTGTAAAGTTCAATCTCATGAACATTGGTGATATACTCAATTGTAGTTCTCAACGAGACAGTCATGCATCAGACTTGAGGCAAGTTCTGAGACCTTGAAGCCAAATAAACTATATGTGAACCTCAATAAGTGCACATTCATGATTAAAAGTTTAACCGTATTGGTGTATATTGTGTTGACAAAATGAAGACTGCCTTATTAAAGTTGAATTGTAAGGAATTGGCCTATAGCTAGATCCATCAATGTTACACATCGTTCTAATGGGCGTGCATAGTTCAGACTTTCAGTAGGCCATATATTCACAATACTACTTTTGTGTTTATGCCATACTGAGAATACGAAGCGAGGTGTGTGTGTGTGTTTTGGCTCTTAAATATTAGAAGAGCTTTACTCTCGCAAGATAGTTTACATGCCACATATCCTTTCATGGAATTCTCATTTATTTGACTTTTTAATTTCCATTATGTTCCCTATGTTACATGTATGACTTGTTTGGCACATTTGTCTAATGGTTAGCTTTACTTTATAATGCATAGGGAGTCCACGTTGTCACTTAAGTGATCATTACTTGGCACACGAGTCACGTGACTAGAGTAAAACCCTTCTTACACTAGGGTTAAGATGCAATCAATTTACACAATACAATCTTGCATTGGAGGACACTAGCCTGGTTCTTTACACCTGTTTTTAACATAGTTTATGCTCAAGAGACTTGGAAGTTAAGTTCTTTTTATTCTTCCCTCTCTTTTCTTTCTACTTCATAAGTCTTGATCTTGCATATTATGCTCCCTAATAAAAGTGTTTGCTGAAGTTTTCGTTCAATTTATAGATGCTTGATATAGGGTGCTCCTCATACAATTTATTATGTGAAAACAAATTTAGGTTATGTGCTAAATCTTGAGTTTACTGTTAAGAATTTGAAGTTCTAACTGAATATATCACAAGAAACACTAAGATGCCAGAAACATTATCTTTTATCCATCTTAGTGTTTCTTAAAGAAATTAAATGTGAATGATCACTTGCAGTCTAAAAGTTGAGTGCTCAATTCAACTATAAAATACCTTGGACAAAAGAATTTTCCAATCAGAAGTGAAGAAAAATATACCTTGGACAAAATTCCATTTGTATATATAGACATGGGGAGTCAAAATCAAACTCCTCATAGGAATCTCCAGACCTTAAGGGATCAGCAGCTGAACTACAAGAAATGCCAGAAAAATTCTCCTCGAGCCAGGCCTGAAACAGCGAATATCAACTACAACAATCAAAATAGAATAAATACATACAAATATTTAATTTCAGATAAATTCTTGTCCTAAAAGAGTATGTTGGCTGCAAGATAATCTAATTGCCTGCTCCTTTACATAATACACGAATGACATACGTGTGCTTATTACATTCGTCATAGACATAAAAAGTCATGTTTAACCCTTCCAAGAATTAAATAAAAACACTAAATCAGCCAGTAGATAAATGAAGCATCACCATCTTTTCTCTCTTCGTGTGCACGTGTCAATTTTTTTCTCCTTTATCACGCTTACTTTCAGTTTAAACCTATGTCACATAATTCACATGAACAGTTGGTGGTTTCTCGCTCCGCACGCGTTTCCGCATATTGAAAGTGGATTCCCCTGTAATCCGTGCTCTCAGATTTTGCAAGGTGCGCATTCAATTTTTGGATTTGTGAATCAGACATTTTCAAGTATTCCGGCTTCTAGTAGGGAATGAAATGGTTGTTTTGGTGGCACTATATACTATATAATATGGAAAGTTGTGTAAGGTTTGATGACATTAAATACTACATAATATAAAAAGTTGTAAAAACTTGTGTTGCTGCATTAAAGAGTTTATAATAGTATGAATGAACGAAATCAAGAACGAGAGAGTATTTACTATTGAACTAGGACAACTGTCTGAGAATTAAATACGAATTTTTATAATTTATGCTTTAATAAAATTACACACCAATACAGCAGATCGTAGAATTGACATAAAACTAGGGACTCATTAAAGTGAAAAAAATTATATTTATTAAATTCATATGATTAAATTAAGTGATATAAGTACATATAGACGCTCCTGCTCTCAAGAAATTTTAGACCTTGACGCTCTAGCTTCCGCTCCCACTTAAGAAAACAGAAGTTTCAAAAAGTAAAAATAAAAATAACCATGCATTTGATCTCACTTGAATTTATTTCCATCTTCATTTTTGTTTAATCTTCTTTTTCATTCAGATCAAAGTACACTGTTTCTGCATGCAGTAAAAAATAAAAAAGAAAAAGAAAAAGAAACTTAACTCTGGATGCATTCTGCCTTTGTGTACAAACCGTCAAATTAATTGCATGTGTAAAATTGATACCCTCTTAAGGAATTGGGAAAAACAGAAAACGTAAAAGAGGAAACAGATATGTGAAGATAACCATCATCCTAGCCGAAGCCAGCAACTGAACCTGGAAAGCATGTCAAAAATCAAGTAGATTTAATGTCAAGTGGGGAGTGGCAACTGTTGTGGTTTTTTGTCTTAAAACATAACAGGTCCAAAATCTTCTTTATACCTCTAATTTAGCATTTGTTCTTACTCTATTTTTAATAATTAAAATGATAACATAACCAAATAGCAAACACCATGAAGCCTCATTTATTTTAGTATCATAAATCAACTCCATTCACCACTGTTGGAGCCTAGTTCCAGCAAATGCAGATATTACCAAAACACCCTCAACTCTAAAACATAAGAGAACATAAATAAAATCAATCGAACAGCAAAGCAAACTATATAAAATTATAAATTACAACTCAAATTAATTAAAATTTTGATTATGCAAAGTTGCAATCAGATCTTTACAAAGTTCACAAGTTGTCAAAGAAGAAGAAGGATTGGTGAGTCCCACATAAAACTCCTTAGGATACACTGATGAAGCTAAGTTACGTTGAGTGTCAAAATTTCCTCTCCAATACATTGAATAGAATTATTATATTGATGCTTACATGTTACTCCATTTTTTATACTTCAAGAAGGATTAGGTATCCAATGTAGGAAATTTGAAAAAGTATCTGAATTCTCTGTACAAAGACGAATTTAAAAATTCACCTTGAACCTTATCCCTTTAAATAAGCAATAGGAAGACAACCTCATAATTGTTGGGTCAGCACTAAAGATCCAACACATTCAGTAGGGCCCACCAACTAAAATCTCTAGCTATGACAATTGCTACTTTCTCCCAAGAACACAAGGTCGGAAAATCAGGTTCCAAATTTAAAAGTGGTTTAATAGACATTGAATAATAAACAGTGACGAGAAAATGAGAAGAAGTAACAAAAGAAATGCTTTGAGAAACCTAAAATAAACTTCAAATTAAGCTTTAAAAATTAGATATAAAAAACTAGACTTCAAAAACATTAAAAAATTCCAGGAAAACGGTGTAGGTTGGAATTGTTGTTGTTCGTGTTTATGTGGAACAACAACTAGAACGTTGCCAATAGAAATGAGCTTCCTCGAAGTCTGATTGCATTCCTATATAAGTGAATGTAAAAGAAATACATAAAGTTGTACTTAAATCTAACAATGCAAGTTGTGCAGGATTTATTAGAAAAGAAAACTTAAAATAGAGAAACAGAAGTACTGAAGGAGAAACAACAAGGAGAATGAGAAAGAAGAAGAGAAGATGAAAGAAAGAAAAGAAGAGAGAACCAACAAAAAGATGAGATGAGACATAACATCAATCCTAATCAAAGGTCAAAAGTGCCATTACCCAATGTGGTCCCGTTAATTGAGGGTGCTGGGAGGGCCAAACTGGTTACAGACCTAATCTATATCATCATTTGCACAAAAGAATAGGAGAACAGTTCTGTTGTATACGCTTTGATTCATTAGAAAAAAGAAAAGGAAAGTGACCAATAGGCCTCTGGCCTACAGATGCAAGGCTCTTACTTCCCAAATGGAGGTGAGGGGTTCGAACCTCAGTGGAGGTAGTGTGTGTGAGTTTCAACTAAAAAAAAAAAAAGAAAGTGAAAAACCAACAGACCAATGGCATAGCAATACCAAGCCCTACTTCTCAAAGAAAGGTTAGGGATTCGAGCCTCAGTGGAGGCATATGTGTGTGAGTACCAACTAGGAAAAAAAAAAAGAGGAAAGTGGAAAGGAAAAAAAGATGTGCAGGCACAAAAGTCACACATTGATCATTTGAAACATAACACATTAAAAATGCATCCGAGCAAGGACTGATGATAAACCTGGTGGTAGCGCACGATATTTGGGTGGCGCAAGCAACCCAGAGCCCGTACCTCCCTGAACAATTTACCATAGCAAACGCATATAACTCTCAACCAAATCAAACCAATCAGCTCAATGTTAAAAAATATAATAATAATAAATAAAATAAAATTTGAACCAGCAGAAAAGAGTGAAGTTAACAAATACCAACTTCAATGATTCCATCATAGATTGGAATTGAACAACTCAAAAAGAAGTATAAGACTTCCATTTAATAATGGATATCACAAATAAGAGCAAGATTACAAGTAATTTGGGCATTATAAATAAATTAGAGTACTTCACAAACACCAGTGAAAAGGAAAAAAATAATAATAATAAATAAATACTCGTACACACAGAAACAGCTTAAAAAAAAAAAAAAAAAAAAAAAAGGAAAAGGAATTTCAGAAATAAATGTATACTGCTGTGATAGTATTAGAAACAAAATCAAATCAAATAGACGTATAAATTTTTTCAAATCACATACCTCAGGACTTTCTGGAAGGGCATGTTTGCAGACTTCAGAGGAACTACCTTCACTGCATAGATGCAGTTATCAAGATGATTCTTGCATTTTGTAACTATTCCAAAACCTCCTCTACCTACCATCAAGAAAATAAACAAAAATTAATTGATGTTTTCAAGCTGAATTGAAATTCCAGAAATATATATATATATACCAATCAATCCAAGCTCCTCAAATTCAGTCAAAAAATGCGATTCTGATCCCCATTTTGACGAAACTGACTTTCTAATAGTTTCTCCACTAAAAGGACAATGCATCTCCATTTCTCGCTCTCACTCTACTTTAAACACTCTCACTAATCTCAGAAAGTATACAAGAAATCTCAAGTTCAATCTGTCTTGATACACAAGAAATCTCAAGCTGAATCTGTCTTGATGCACAAGAAAAGAGATATTTTCAAGAAAAAACATGAATAAGGGGTTTTCCCTAAAACCCCTAAACGATGGAGACGGTGGGATGGGGGGCTGGGCTGTGGGTCAATAAGGGTTGGGCTTCTCTAGCTGATTTGTGTTGGTTTTTAGTGTTAATGGGCCAATCAAAATCTAATCCCAAATCGATTATTTTTTACAAGTTTTTGCAATTACTTTTTGTAATTGAGGTTAGACTTGGGTTAAAATTTTCAACCCTGATAGTTGGGTTGAGGTTATACTTTCAAATTTTAAATATATTATATATCTTTCAAATTAGGATCAACCTTTTCTTTTGAAATTTTATTTTACTTAAATTTTAATTTATTGTATGTCAATACTTTGAAGAAATAATAAATAAATAAAAAAGAATTTGTTTGTAGTTTTAAAAACAAAATTACATTTAGCTTTTCAGAACTTTTAATGCTTAAAATCTAACCTAACTCAAATTTCAACTTGATTTCTTTTATCAGAGTTCAATTCGAAAATAAAATTTTGAACTTAAGTTGAGGTTATAGAGTTAAGTTTAGTTGTGTTAGAGTTAGTTTGAAGTTTTTAAAGCTTTGTGGGCCTTGAATTGAACTCTAAACTCGTCTGAGTTATAACACTATTCTTAGTGGAAGTATTAACCTTTCAACTTATCGAACTTACCAAGTTATATCGTGTTTATACAGGAGTAACAAAGATAAAGTGACAGAGATGTTAAAATTATAAAATAGGAGGCCCGAGACATGATTAAGAATATAATGACTACCATCAAGTATAAATAAAACTCGTATTAAGAATAAAAAAGGTGGAAGGATTTATTAAATAAAACTCACATTTTCCTTTTTCTAATTGCCTTCACACACACAAGGACAAAGTGTGTTAGAAAATCTTTTTGAGAAGTTCTTCGTATTCTTATAGTTTAATTTGCATGCATGCACAATAGGTAGCACATTACATGCATTTTTCACGTTTATAAAAGACATTTTTTTTTGGTTACTTTTCAGTTTTTCAGTAATAGTATAATTTCTGATTTGTATTAAAGAACTGTGATACATAAGAAACTTTAGCGCGCTATCAAGTTTTTGATGACAACCCAATCAAGTAGAGACACGTAAATCAAGTAAGCCTAGATCTTTGTGACCAGTTCTATTCATTTCACCAAATTAATTAATTTCAACATGCTTTAACATTTGGAAAATCGTTTACTTTATCAATTACTATTGCCTTATTTTTAAGTCAGTGATTTCATATATATCTAATTAAGAAAATGTCAAATTTTGTATGCAGGGTTTGACTTCAAGACTGATCTTCGTTTGATAAAGAAAGCAGAAAATTAGATGAAAGAAAGAGAAAATTGGATGAATGAGACATAATGTCTTTTTCTCTCTTCCAAACAGGCATCCGTTTTTTTACGTGCGCACTCCTCAATTCCGTTCCCACTATTTGTGACAAGCCTTCCTCCAAGGTTCCAAATATAGAGAAAGAAAGAGTTTGTTTTGTATATCTGTCCCAAGTACGTCTCTCATGTTGGGCATACTCATCCTGGAAAAAGAAATTTTGTAGTTGATATTCTGTGTTGTGTTTGATCTACGCCAAAAAAATAAAAAATAATAAAAAATAAAAATTGTTAACTTGTTGAATTCTAGCAATTAAGCAGACGGTTAGGGTCTTGGTGGATGGATTATGGAAAATTTTACTTTTCTAATTTTAGTGTTCTTTCCTTATAAGATGATTGTCTTATTGTATCATTCACTTTTTATATTTTGGAGTTTAAAAACTTACCTCCATCAAAGACCAGAGAAACCTCCCACGTTGTTTGTAGGATTTGGATCCTCTACAATCCTAATCAACTGAAGGTCCAGAAATCTCAGAATCTGGCCAAATTATGCACTGCAATGTTACAGACATTGACTCCCATGATCATCATGTCTTTATTTCTACTGTGTATGCATACAACACTATTAACCAAAGGAAAGCTATTTGGCGTGATGTCATTGCCAATGAGCTTTCTAAAGCTAAAAAGCAGTTTTATCTCCAAAAATCAATGGTAAATTGGTTGAAGCAAGGTGATACTGATCCAGCTAATGAGCAGCTCAGGGAGAAGGAAAAAAGCTTACCACAAATCTATTATGAGCTTTCTAAAGCTAAAAAGAAGTTTTGTCTTCAAAAATCAATGGTAAATTGGTTGAAGCAAGGTGATAAGAACACCAAGTTCTTTTTAAAATCCTTCAATAAAAGATGTAAAAGGAAAAAGATTACCAACCTGACCCATCCTAGTGGTGAGACTAATGACTCCATCTCCATTATCAAGCAAGAAACCCTGGATTACTTCCAAAGGTTACTTAGAAGTGATCCTAATACCGACCTTGGCCATGAAACCCTGAAGGGAGTTTTTTTCTAAGATTGTTCTTGGCCATTTTATGAATTCACTTCTTGACATACCAACTGATGAGGAAACTCAAAGTTGCCTCTTCTCTATTGGCAACTCAAAATCCCCTAGCATCGATGGTTACAATGATTTTAGAGAAATTCAAGGAGAGAGAGACTGTAGAGAGAGAAGTGAGAGTTTTATAGAGAGAGAGGGTATATTTGTAATTTAAAAAAAACAATTTTAAGTTTTAAATTTAACATTAAATAAGAAGGTCAAACTTGTTGTTTCAAAGCCCGGTTAACGGGTCAGATATGGATGTTAGGGTAATATGATCATTTTTTTAAGTGTAGGGGGATTTTTTGAAATAGATTGGGGATTTATTATCAAATTTTGAAATTAGTAGGGATTTTATGAAATTAGTCCATTTTATTATTAATTTTGAATTGATACTAAAATGGGCTACAATTTATAGTCAGACAGAAGATAGCAGCTCAACATACAGAATTTATAGTCTACAATTCATGAAAGTCACTCGTATAGGGACAAACTATGCTGAAATATAGCTATTCAACGATGATTAGTCATGTGTATTGCATTTCAGCTTGATTATTATGTTTTCTTTCAAGTCTAAGGGCAAATTTATCCCAGTATTAAATAATGATTTATTTAAATAAGCTATTTTTCAATGAAATTAGCCACATGAATTATCTTTTCAGTCTAATTTATTTATTGTTATTTTACCTACTATATTTAATTTTTTAAAATTATATTTAATGACGATGCTATATTATTTTTGCCTGTCTTCGATATAAGACTTTCTCTACTTTTATCACCAATGGGTACAACATCTAATTTTTTTTCTCACATTTTCACTAGCGACATTATCTATTCTAGTCACTCCACTCATTTTTTCTCACATTTTCACTAGTGACCTTATCTATTCTAGTCACTCAACTCATTCATCGAAGTGCTTGTTCTTTCTTCTTTTTTAGGGCCCAACACTCCAATCCATTTATCACATAATATCTCACTAGACTTTCTCCATTTTATCTATCCCGTTCCAATTCTACTTGTCATGTCACCGTCTACCTTTCCATTATAGATCCTTACATTATGAAAGTAGTTTTGAGTAATCTTTTTATTCTTTAGTTTTATCATTATATTATCAATGTCCGAATCTTTATCAAATTTACACTCAATACATTGAGTTTTGGTTCAATTAATTCTCAATCATTTCAATTCTAAAGCATTTCTCCACAATTTCATCTATATGACTAGATAATATTGGTCAAGTTGAAAATGTTGCGTACCAAGAACATTATTCAAGATGACATCTGTATTAGTAGTTCAATAAATAAATTAAATAATACGGGATCGTCTTTTTGAAAGGTAAAAGGTTCGAGGGTTGTGGGAGTTTCTTGCCATCCATGAATACACACAGAGGGACGAAGCGAGAAAAAAATTTCAGGGGAGGCACATTATAGTATTGTATACCATAATATATATTTACAATATAATGTACATGAATATAAGTCAATGTTTTTGAGTGTGTATATATATATATATAGAGAGAGAGAGAGAGAGAGTTGTATTTTTGGGATAAAATTAATTTACGCATATAGAATATAAGGATTAAGAAAGCAATTTAAGTGAAAAAATATGAAATATATATAGAATTCCATGAAGAATGAGAAAATTCAGGGAGGCATTTTTCATATTTTCATAAAAAATATATATATATATATATATTAGTATAAAATATATATAAAATACAAGAGAGTGAGAAAATCCAGACGGCGCGTGCCCAGTCCTTAGCTGCCTCAGTCCCTGCACACACACATATGATATTGTACTGCACGCGCTGGAAGTCGCAAGGTGTAACGGGTGGGCGCTTGCCCATTTACCCAAAAGCTCGAACTGTTAGGTAAGGCTGCATACCCACCCATTTATACCCAATCTCTTTCCCATCCGATTCCGATGTGGGACAAAATGACCCTTGTTACATTCTCCCCCACCCAAACTCGCAACGCCCTCGTTGCGGTTGGGCCACCCTGCCTACCCGGGTGGACTCACCCGGACGCCTTCCGGGCCGGGCGCTTGGCGTGGCACCGGATCAAGGACTGGGTTTGGCTCTGATACCAACTGTAACGGGTGGGCGCTTGCCCATTTACCCAAAAGCTCGAACTGTTAGGTAAGGCTGCATACCCACCCATTTATACCCAATCTCTTTCCCATCCGATTCCGATGTGGGACAAAATGACCCTTGTTACACAAGGCCATTACACCAATTGAGTGTAAAATAAGGTACAAGCATACAAGTATGTTTTGAAACTTTTTTTCTAGTTACACCATTTCATTGTCTTTCACGGACGCAATATCCTGTACAGGATCTTAAGCTCCTTCCATCTCCACTGCCACCACCACCGTTGCCTCGCCGCCTTCCACCACAGTCTCCCCTGCTATTTACACTTTTGCATAACAAAAACCAAATTATGTC